AAACTGGTTCACCCGAAAGACAAAACTCCTAAACACAAACTTAACAATGTGGTGTATGCTTTACAGTGCAGAGAGGAATGCCCAGACCTCTACATCAGAAAGACCAAACAGCCACTTCACAAGCGCATGGCACAACATAGAAGAGCCACCTCCACGGCACAAGACTCAGCAGTTTATCTGCATCTAAAGGACAAATGTCACTCTTTTGAGGATGCCAACGTTCACATTTTGGACAGAGAGGACAGATGGTTTGAAAGAGGAGTGAAAGAAGCCATTTACGTCCACTGTGAGCGACCATCTTTAAACATAGGTGGTGGTTTACGACACCAACTGTCTGCCATCTATAATCCAGTTTTGAAATCCCTTCCCAGACACCTTAACGCTCACTCACATCCTGGGCCATCTGACCTCAGGTTGCACAATGAGCTCACCCGAAACCCTGGGTGATTGGGACCCACACCCGCTTTCACACTTTGGCTTGTGTGATTAGGTAGAAGATCATCAGTAGGTCCTTTGTCCCTCTTTGGGGGGAAACTCCCACTGGGTTTAAATCTGGGACTCTCCACCATTTGACCCGGATGAAAGGAGAAACGTCTTCAAGAAACTCAACGCAGCCCAGATGGTTTTCTTTCCAAGCTCGTTAGACTACGATGACCTGGACCACACGATGACCACAGACAGTACATGAAGTATTATTTTAAATAAACAAAGACATGACTATAACAACTTTTAAAAGTAATTAAGAGTCTAATTATCCACTCAAATGTAAATAAACGTTCACTTGAAAGCTGTATAAAGGTTACCTGTTTATACAATAATATAAGTCACATTTCAAATGATCATCTGTGGAAAAGTTTGAATCCTGACCTGAGAGTTTCCACTGCACACTGTGAACTCTTTAGTCCAGCAGAGAGAAGCTTCACTCCTGAATCCTGCAGGTCAGAGTTACTCAGGTCCAGCTCTCTCAGACTGGAGGACTGGGAGATGAGGACTGAGAACAGAGCTTCACAGCTTCTCTCTGACAGGTTAGAGCCACTCAGTCTGAAAAATAAAAGACAATCTATAAAACAAATTCTCATGTAGAGTTTGTTAATACATTTCACAACATTAAATCTTGACTTTCTATTTTTAAAGGAAACATTAACATACTAAGATACAACTTCATTTGGATGATCTTTAATTAATAATTCTAACAACAAACTGTTTTCTGATCTGACCTCAGAGTACTCAGTTTACAGTTTAAACTTTGTAGTCCAGCAGACAGAAGCTTCATCCCGGAATCCTGCAGCTTTCTGATACTCAGGTCCAGCTCTGTCAGACTAGAGGGCTGTGAGCTGAGAACTGAAGACAGAGCTTCACAGTTTTCCTCTGAGAGTTCACAGATGTTAAGTCTGAAGATTAAAAACACGAATAAAGATTGTTGTTAAAGTGTAATCAGGGTGCAATAGCTTATTGTCTTGTGGATAAAGTTGACCTTTACTGGGTAAATTTTTGATTATTTTTGTCAATGGATATAAACAAAAACATCAAACATATAAACAAACAGAACTAAACAGGACACAAACTGATCTGACCTCAGAATATTCATTTTGGCGTGTGGACTCTCCACTGTAGCAGACAGCAGCTTTACTGCTGAAGCCTTTAGGCTGTTGGTACTCAGGTCCAGCTCTCTCAGACTACAGGACTGGGAGCTGACCACTGACAACAAATTTTCACAGCCCTCCTCTGAGATGTTACAGCTGCTCAGTCTGAGAGAGAGAGGGGAAAAAACCAAAACAAAAAAAACAAACAATATATGTGATCAAATGAAATTTGTTTATATGTTGAACCCTTTTTTTTTTAAACCTATGAGACTATGAGTGCTACCAATCCAGTGCACGCGATTGATACCTTGATGGTACCTTGCTCAGGGAAACCTCAGGGTAGCTATTTGGTGGATTTGACCCCCGACCTTACGATCATGGGGCGACCACTCTGCCTACTGAGCTAATAATTCTGTGTGCACTATCATACAATATTAACTAAAACAATTATTTTAGAAAATTTTGCTAATTCAATAATCATTATGCCGATTACCTCTGTACTGTGAGTAACACTGGATTTTAAACACGTCGCGGAGCATCATTTACCTGGCAGGAAACATGGTGGCTCAAAAAAGCTCAAAAGTTTGGTTATACTTTACGAAAACAGAAGACAACAGGGCAACTTACAATACTTGCAAAGTAGATATTTCATTTAAGGGAGGAAACACTACGAATATGCAAAAGCATTTGCTCACAAAACACGCGATAACCTTAAATGAATGTCGTGTTTTTAATTCCGCTCCGGACTCATGAATCTCAACCCAGCAGCAGCGGTAACGTTTGCACGTCCTCTCCCGTTAATGCGGCAGGTAAATAATCAACTAACAGTTGCATGTTATGTTAGCGCGATCTGCCTTATTACAAAACCTGCCATTACTGTGCGCTGCATTTAGGTGACCATGATGAGAGAGACAGACAGAGTCTGGCTGGCGCTCGCTGGCAGTTCTCGCTGCAGTCTACCGGTAGCGTCTCCTTTCATCGATAAAGAATCGAATTGTTAAACAGAATTGAAAATGGAATCGGAATTGTGAAAATCTTATCAATACCCATCCCTAGCTGAAACACAGACTTCGTGGAGAATGTTTGCTGTCAGGATATATCAAAGACAAAGGAGAGATCCATCCAATCTCTTCCACTAAGCCCACACAGGGACAGACAACCACTCTCACTCACACCTTCAAGAAGTTTAGATCACCAGGTAACCTAACTGCATGTCTGTGGACAGTGGGAGGAAACTGTAGAGGACCCAGACAGAACCCACTTTAATTCTGTGGGAACACTGGTTATGGCAACCTTACAGTTAGATATGAATAATTTCAAGAAACAGGACCTTAGAGGCAATTTAATTTATGAAGCCCAAGTTTTTCCCTAATAAGAAAAAGGGAGAGTGTGCACTGAAAGTGAGATTTAAAAAAACTGCTTGAGTTGGAGACAAGTGAACAAGCTGTGGATAATGAACCTGTCGGAGGGGCTGAAAGATCAGAGCTCATGTTCCTTTTGGCTGGGTCTGGATTGTACTTTGAAAGTTACAGACAAAAATGTGTCAGAAATGCAGTAGTGAAACATTAAAACTACCATATATTTACTGAGTGACTGATGATCATCTAATTCACTATTCTTATGTTTTTTAACTGTTCTTTGAACTCAGCATTTCTGATTTATTTCCCATGATTTTAAGATTTTTATTGATTATAAGATTTTAAGAGATCATGTTTAGCAATGAGTTCATATTTACTCACAGAGCTTTGTTGGAGGCTTTGACCACTGGCAGCAGCCTCAGAAGAGCCTCCTCTGAAGCAGAGTATTTCTTCAGGTCAAACACATCCAGATCTTCTTCTGATGACAGTAAGATGAAGACCAGAGCTGACCACTGAGCAGGAGACAGATTAGTGTAGGAAAGACGTCCTGATCTCATGTACCATTGGATCTGCTCCACCAGAGAACGATCATTCAGTTCATTCAGACAGTGGAACAGATTGATGCTTTTCTCTGCAGACAGATTCTCACTAAGCTTCTTCTTGATGTACTGGAATGTTTCCTTATTGGTCTGTGAGCTACTTCCTGTCTGTGTCAGCAGACCTCGTAGGAGAGTCTGATTGGTCTGTGAGCTACTTCCTGTCTGTGTCAGCAGACCTCGTAGGAGAGTCTGATTGGTCTGCAGTGAAAGACCCAGGAGGAAGCGGAGGAACAAGTCCAGGTGTCCATTTGGACTCTGTAAGGCTTTGTTCACAGCACTCTGGCAGAAGTGTGTCTCTGCTGATTCTCCTTTTTCAGACTTCTGGGAGGTTTTTTGTTCTTCCAGCAGATTTTCTCCAGAGTTGATGAAGGTCAGATGGACATGAAGAGCAGCCAGAAACTCCTGAACACTCAGATGGATGAAGCAGAACACCTTGTCCTGGTACAG